ACAGTATGCAGGCAGCCTGTTTTGTCCTTCCATACAACATTTAAATGCATTAAATGAAACAAAACACTTATATTAAACAAAGTATGTATATAAAACCAGTTACTAATATTAAAGTATACAATAAAACTTACATGGGTAGTTAAAAATAAGGCTGTAATAGGTTGGTTTTTTTGTGGATTTGTTTGCCTTTTTTTTTTGTTTCTTTTTCGGTAGGTACATTTTTAGGAATTAAAAATTATAGATAATACTTTGTTCAAGAAATATTTTGCTCTCGATTTGAAAGTTTTATTAAGCTTTTTCTTTTTTTTTTCCTTTGCTTGTAAGGAGCACATATCTGCAACTCCTACGGATCTGATCAAAATAACAAGCACAACTTCTAATCCTGACCCAGTAATAAGTACATCTGCAAATCTATTTCAGTAGTAAGCATGCAGATCCATTTGAATAATATGCCTGCCCACAGATCCTGACCGAGAATAAACATGCCTGCAGATCCTGAACAACAATAAACATGCCTGCAGATTCTTATACAATAACTAGTATGTTTTAACCTAATAAGAAACACATCTGCAGATCTTGATCCAATAATAAGCACATCTGCAGATCATGATCCAATAATAAGCACATCTGCAGATCATGATCCAATAATAAGCACATCTGTAGATCCTGATCCAATAATAAGCACATCTGCAGATCCTGATCCAATAATAAGCACATCTGCAGATCATGATCCAATAATAAGCACATCTGCAGATCATGATCCAATAATAAGCACATCTACAGATCCTGAACCAGTAGTAAGCACATTTGCAGATCTTGATCCAGTAATAAGCACATCTACAGATCCTGAACCAGTAGTAAGCACATTTTGCAGATCTTGATCCAATAATAAGCACATCTGCAGAATAGGATCCAGTAATGAGCATGTTGAAAAATTTGGATCCAGTAATAAGCATGTTGAAAAATTTGGATCCAGTAATGAGCATGTTGAAAAATTTAGATCCAGTAATGAGCATGTTGAAAAATTTAGATCCAGTAATGAGCATGCTAATGTTTTATTAGTTATATGTCCTGGCTGTCTTCTCTAACTCATACACTTAATACACACACAACTAATGCTTGTTACCAGACTTATCTGCTCATGAAACTGTATGCTTTATTTGCACAGATTTGGAGGCAGAATCTTAATACCCCCTTCCATGTCTACACAGGGGGACTTACACAACAGCAATGATGGGTTTTTCTTTCTTTCTTTCACTGAATGGTTATGTGTGATTACATGTTCCCCACCACCTCCTGTTGTGATGTTTACTGTTATATATTTTTATGACAGATTTCTCATTATTTATCTACACTATTTGATTGTTGTTAACATTTTTCCTTACTCAAAATAAACCACAAAAACAAAAGGTTGTTTTGTTTTGTTCAGTTTGTGGGCTTCCTCATGTGTGTTCTGGGGAAAACAAGAATAGACCCACTTCCTTCCTCAGAAGCATGTCCTAAAAGCCGACTAATTAGGGACATCCTTCAAAATCAGAGTACATCTGCCTGATATGCAGGGAACAAGAGTTTGCATACAAACAAGCCAGATGAGTGAATTTGTATGAACTGTCAGACTTGTCTATTCATCTTTTGATTTTATATTTCCACTTGTATCACAATCTACCTCTTGCTCACTGTCACTTCAGTCTAGGTCTCATGACATAAACATGCATGAAAACAAACACACATCATTTTAAAACTTATTGTATTTAATTTTTTGTTTTAAACTTACATTCACCTCAAACAAATATACATAATTTACAATCTTCTCTGCTCAATCACTGTTTTGTGTATATTAAATGGCAATCAAGTTGTGCATATTTAAAGCAGAGCTGTGATATTTGCAACTTTTGGCTGACATAATAAACTTCCTGAAAGTTTTTTTTAAAAACTGATTCAACTCCGTGAAAGGTGCTCAGACCCTTCTCCAAGTGATAAACCCCACTGGCTAATACTACCAGTTCTATGTTGATTAACAAGTCCTCTATGAGCGTCTCATTTTTTGCTAAGCTGATCTCAAGTCTCATTCTGGCGAGTGATGTGGATTCACTGCATTAATAATATCAGCATGATGCATAGGTTGATCATCAGTAGTGATAGTGCGAATCCAGCCAACCTATCAGCTCTTTCATTTCCATCGACGCTTGCGAATGCCCTGGAGCAAAAATAAAGGTGACTCCACCCACAGTGGACTTCTGTAATGACTCAAGCCGAACCTGCGTAAACCCTCCGGATCATTACTCAATCACTGAGCACACATTCGCAGGTGTAGTTTTGAGCCCTGCGAACACTTGCATTACTGCCATCATCTCCATCGTCATGCTGCTGGTTGTCATGGAAAAGGCGCGTTGGCTTTTTTTAACTGTTCTGCCAGCTGAACGTGCTCTGAACGCCCATGCACTTCTGTGTTGCTGTGTAACGGATCCGCCCGTATAGATCAGTACATCTGCCTTATCTGAATTTTCACTGATGACAGCATTGACCTCAGCATTGACAGCAACAGGATTCTGCATCCTGCATCGCCTGTCAAGTGCGGCTAAACAGGAAACTGTACAAATAAACGCATGAGGCACAAGTATCAGCTCTGTACCAGGGGTGATGCTGGTTGGGCTGCATGTTTGCTTGATAATATCTGCTGCCTGACCTAGCCATGATTTTCCTCTCTTCAGCTTGTCGCTCTTTTCACTGAAAAATGTTTTCAGGGAGAATGGACTCACTGCCACTAAACAAGGCAACTAATTAGGGCCTTGGTAAAAATCTGATTTTTGGTCTAAAGGTGCAGATATCACAGCCTAGCTGTAAACCTCAAAACAATATGGCCAACCACCCTTTTAAGGACAAATGCAGAAGTATGGAGATCGGTTTAACCTGATGATTTCTTTTACTGCCCTTTATTCAGTGGGAAAATATGCTTTCAACCAACTCATGCCAAGTTGCCCTATCCTTTCTCTACCACTGGGTGCAACCTTCGAAGTCAAGTACATCTGCCTGAACAAAGAGTATAAAAACAAGCCAGATGTATAAAACAATTATGCATGCAACACTCAGGTTCTGAAACAAGACTAAAGTCAAAGTGGACGAACACCTAAAACTTTCCGCCAGTTTATATCCGGTGAATACGAAGGAAGATAAATGGTTCACACTTGTCACCAATGTTTTAATGTACTGCCCATTTCCCTCACCTCCCTATTCCATTGGAATAAGCTTTATGGTATCCCACAGTTTAAGAGACCTCTTTGGCAGTGCCAATCTCTTCTCCAAGTCACAAACTGTTCAAAAATGTTTTCCATCTCTATCTCTTTAATCAATTAAATAAGCACGACAGTATACCACAGGAATGTTGAATCAAGAATCATCACAGCACTCGGGATACCTCCATAAGTGCTTCATCCCCATCTCCAGCAGCAAGCAAAGAGTTCCAATTCTGATGGTACCAGTAACTATTTGATTGTATATTCATCTTGTCCTCCACTTCAGTGTTGAGCGTCGGCCAGTACACCACAGGACAAAAGATGAAAAAAATACTTCTCCTTTAGGATAGAAACCCATGACTCAAAAAGCCACTATTAGGATAAGAATCCCAGAAGCCTTGTCCAACCATAAAAACAGTTATACTAGGGCAGCCTTCAGTTACTAAGAGAGCAGCTCTTGTTAGTTACATCCACCAAATGGGATTTCCAAGTCTCCCTAGAGCAGTGTTTCTCAAACCTGTTTCGCTTGCGCCACCCTTTCCGGGCAAAGTTTTTTGCGGCACACCTACCCTTACAGTGGTTTGAAAACTTTGGAAAAGAGGAAGAAAAATCAGTGCAAATTTAATGTTCATTGTCTTTAATACGATGAGTGAAACAGTTTGGATGAATTTTTCATTATTTCTCTTATGTTTATGTCAAGTTTAGTTAACTGTACCCTCGAATCACTTGAGCGTACATTGAGAATGCACTGCAGCCTGGCCAATGGCATTGTTTCCTGAATACACCTGCATCCAGAATTCTTCTTGGCTTCCTTCATGGTATTTCTGTTTTAAACTGCTGTCTTCGCTGATCTCAAGCAGATTTGGAAAATTCCTGATTATTGCCGCGGCACCTCTGGCATACGCTCGCGGCACCCAGTTTGATTACCACTGCCCTAGAGCATAACAGAACTCTTATCATGTAGAAAGACAGACAGGTGCCAATAAATGTTACTAAGTAACTTGCTGTTCAAGGTGGGTTGGTAGTTAGCTTCCAATTAATGAGTATCAGCAACGCGCTGTGGAGCATAAAGAGCACAATGAGGTACGTAGAACACCCTGGGCATTCATCATCCCTGACTTCATCTCCACTTGTCCTGACACTGGATCCAGATGGACAGGGGCAAGAGAGTGAGGTCGACAACATTGTGCAACTCTTCACTTTAAGCCAATTATTTGCACAAGACACTTTTTCATCAAAGACCTGTACAACAGGCCTCTGGTCTACAGACACTGTTCCCTGCTCACATTGTCCTAGATCCAGGGCTCGTACTGGGCTCTTGTCTACAAACACTGTTCCCTGCTCACATTGTCCTAGATCCAGGGCTCGTACTGGCCTCTGGTCTACAAACACTGTTCCCTGCTCACATTGCCCTAGATCCAGGGCTCGTACTGGCCTCTTGTCTACAAACACTGTTCCCTGCTCACATTGCCCTAGATCCAGGGCTCGTACTGGCCTCTTGTCTACAAACACTGTTCCCTGCTCACATTGTCCTAGATCCAGGGCTCGCACTGGACTTATAATTTTCTTTGAAGCTGAGGTGCATCTGCCTGAAAGGCAAGAAGTCAACAGTCTGCACAGGACCAAAGTCTAGAAGTAGTTGAACAAACCAGAACATTCAGCTCTGGACTTTTCAGCTGGTGAATGCCATGAAGAAAAAAAAATCAATCTTTTTGTTCTCCTAGTCATAAAACAGGTAATATATCACAAACATTTTCTAAGCCCAGCTCAAACACCTTGCAAGTTACATGGTCTGAAAGGGTACATCAATGAGGGATCTGTGAATCGCACAGTAACAATATAGAATATTGTAGGGAATGGGACGAAAGCGATGAGAGATGCATGAAACACAGGCTGGGTCAACTGTGTGATGGCAATAATGCCATAAGCATGGAGAGCCCAGTGTCCGAGCAGTATCATCAGGTTGCGGACATTGGTGAAGTTTTGCTTGATTAAATCTTTCATTTTCTGAAACAAACAGAAGCAGAAAAAAAGGCATGTTAACGTGAATGTTCAATGTATGTATATATATGATGCTAAAACTTCAGTATATCTACTTCTTCTGCTCCCATCTCTGATAATGTCAGTAATTAGTAATGATTTAAAAAGATCATGAATTTTGTTGTTGTTTCTCACTCTCTATTCTCATTTATTCGCATGTTTGATGGGTCCAAAGATTGTTACAGAACCATATTCTCAAAAGACTGTGATAAGGCTTTGTCTCTTTTAGCTTCAGTCCAGATTTCAAAGTCGCACAGGCCAGCTGGTGTAATTTGTGTTTTATATACTGTGATCTTGGTGTGTGAGATAAAGCATTTGATTTGAGCAGATGTAGGGCACTGAACCATAAGTAAAGTAAAGTAAAGTTCCCTTTTCACGCCTTTCGGCGCATCGGGCATATGGGCAGAGCGTCCCATATTTTTACAGACCATCAGCACTCTGTGGGTAATGTGGTCAGCATTACGCCGGCTGTCTTTACTTTCCCAGGACAGCCCATCCTGGTACCCATTTTAGGCTGGGTCGACCTGCGACGTCCCATACCACGACAAAAATCCACGCAGCCTGCAGTGGGTTTCGATCGCGGTATGCTGGCTTACGAGTCGGACTCGCAACGCCTTAGCCACGGACGCCGCTCACTGAACTATACTGGTTGACAAATCACCTCTACTTGTAGGTAAGTGAACTTCTTCATCGTGTTCGCAGGCTGTACACCTCGGCAGAAAGTTCTGGTTGTTGTCCACCTCTGGACTGATCATGTTCCAGAAGCTGACTTCACTGTATGCAGGTTATTGGTTCTTTGCCTCTCAAAAAGATGCACTCCAACTTCAAAGGAAGCCTCCAATTTGTCACCTGCGACATGGTTGTTGGGGAGGCAGCAGGTCTATTCATGTTTTACCAACAATAGGGCCCCGGAACTCACATGGGGAAACCCAGATTATGACCAAAAGCAACCACACTAACCACTATGACAATTATTTCTACTAACATTTCCCAAAAGAGGGAAAAATTAAACAATTTTTTTTTTTCAGAATAATATTTCACTACATTGCATTAGTATCTACAAAACACGTTTGTGCAAAAGTCAGCCTGGTAGCTTACCAGAAAATAGCATAAACATGCAATGCAAAAAATGAATCAGACAAACAAGCAAAGCAGCCTTAATAAAAGCTTATTAAAAAATATTAAAAAAAAAACCCAGAGAGAATAAAACACACCTGATTCTCTTCAGTAGCCAGATGACAGGCACTGGTGATGATGGACACAACCACGATGATGTAAGGGAAAGCATAATCTAGGAAAAAAACAAAATTTGTAGTGCGATAGTTAGTCATTACTGAGAAATAACATGAAGCTGTAGAGTTATTTCCATGGTCATGCTCGACGTAGTTGTCTGGTAAACGCCACTATCCTCTTTAATTGTTTCCCCCAGCCTTTGTGATGCCCATGCTCATGTTAACCGTGACCTGCGCCTAAATGACGATGTCTCCTGGGTGTGAATGCTGATCAATCAGTGTCTTTATTTTGGCATTTATGGTGGCAGGTATTTGATTCCTGCACCTCCCAGTGTTATCACAACCTTAGACAAGTCATACATGTCTACTGGTATGATGTGGTCGGATTTAAAAAAATAATTTCATGGAGATATCTTAAATATAAATTAAATCACTGAAAACATTACTTACACAGGACACCAGAAGAACTGTTTCCTTTCCAACATGTGCCCTTTATACATATTGGTAAAACAATTCTTCCACACGTTATGCATAAAAATTAAAAAAGTTAGTTGAGTATTCTTAACGGGATTTTACAGAACCAACTCGAATAATTTTCTTTTCCTGCTGTTTGGTTTTACTGGGCAGTTTTAAGTTCAGTAGTTTGCCATTGCTTCCTGAATGATGTTCGCTCAATACAATGTCAAATTCAACACAAAGTGGTCTTACACATAATGCATACATAGCCTCTTAAAGTCCAAACCAACATGAGGTTTGCTACAGTAGCCATGAAGTTTTAAGTTCAGTAGTTTGCCATTGCTTCCTGAATGATGTTCGCTCAATACAATGTCAAATTCAACACAAAGTGGTCTTACACATAATGCATACATAGCCTCTTAAAGTCCAAACCAACATGAGGTTTGCTACAGTAGCCATGAAGGTCATCCTTGGTCATCCGGAGACGTCCTAGCCAAACAGGCTCTGATGAAGAAGAGACAGGCCTAGCAAGTTGGCAATAGATTTATTATTGCAACAGAGAATACAGACTGATCAAATGGTATTCAACTTCGGCAATACAGTCGAGTCCACTTAAGTCGAACCCAGAAAAGACAAAATTTCGCATAAGTCGACATGACCAGCTTAGTCCCGGCTATATGCCTTCTTTATCAATTCATAAAAAATCCTGTTAAGTCGAATTCGGTTAACTCAAATATTTGAATCAGTCAAATCTATAAATAAATTCGACTATATACATGTTCCTGTTTAAGTTGAAACTGTGCATGAAAAAAATTGTTTTATCAAAGAATTATTTTTAGTGAGCCCGGTAAACAATGTGAAATCTGGCATCTATATCTCCCTTTATATATTGTTACCAATGGCAGTCGAAAGTTTACTACTTTAACTTTAAAAAGAAATACTGAGCTGTTGAAAGGGATTGAACATAGTGGGAAGAAGAAAGTGGATGTAGCTAGTGAATTTGGTATTCCATGTTCGACCCTTTCTGGCATTTTAAAGCACAAACGCTAGAGAACATTGTTTTTTCGAATGCCAAATCAACAGTGACAGACAAAGAGCTAGAACAGCGACATGCGATGTTGTTGAAACTGCCCTTTTAAAATGGTTACCTATGCTTAGGTCGACAAAAGTACCACTAAATAGGTCAATAATTACGGAAAAAGAAGAGCAATTTGCACATCGTGGAGGTAGGAAGACTGGAAATGTAGTACTGGCTGGCTGCTCCATTTTCCTGTGATTTCTACTTATCCAGACTCAACTGTATTGAAGGACTTACTCTACAACAGCATCATGTGACTATAAACAAAACTGCAAGATGCAGAACCTTATATCTACCTTGACACCTGAAATGGTAAACGAAGAAGTGAAGAAAAAGAAGAGGATATACATATAACACAAAAACAATCCCCTCAAACACATTACTTAAATACAACACAAAAACAACCCTCTCAAACATACGACTTACACATAACACAAACAAAATAATATCAAACACATTACTTACATATAACACAAAAACAATCCTCTCAAACACATTACTTACATATAACACAGAAACAATCCCCTCAAACACATTACTTACATATAACACAAAAACAATCCCCTCAAACACATTACTTACATATAACACAATCCTCTCAAACACATGACACATATAACACAAACACAATCCTCTCAAACACATTACTTCATAAACACACACAATTTCTCAAACACATTACTTACATACAACACAAAAACAATCCTCTCAAACACATTACTTACATACAACACAAAAACAATCCTCTCAAACACATTACTTACATACAACACAAAAACAATCCCTTCAAACACATTACTTACACATAACACAAAAACGATTCTCTCAAACACATTACTTACACATAACACAAAAACGATCCTCTCAAACACATTACTCACATACAACACAAACACAATAATCTCAAACATATTACTTACAAATAGCACAAAAACAATTCCCTCAAACACATTACTTACATATAACACAAAAACGATCCTCTCAAACACACGACTTACATATAACGCCAGCAAGTACAGAGTGCACAAGGATGAGAATGGGCAGGAAATACAATGCAGCATAAATAGACCGGGAGCCCTGACAGGCAGCAAACTTGTATGAAATGAAGGGTCGCAGCAACATCATGAAGACCAGACACAGCGTGTAGTAGATCATGACAACTGTATACCTGTAAATAATAGACATCACATATTTATGTAGAGTGCTGTACAGATGTTTGGTAAACATAATCAAACATGAAGCAACATTTTGTGTTTCAAAGGATAAACAATGTTTTAGAAGGAGCAAATAATGCTCTATGCTAAGCTGGTGTAATTAATGACTGAATTTGTTGCATAATATTAAAATCATTTGACAAGAGACAAACTATGTCTTAGAATGAATAATTTCTTATAAGGGATAAACAGTCTTCTCCTTCATGTTCATCAGCTTTTAACTCCAGAAGAAAGTCCATAATGTGGAGTTCACTCCCTCTTCATCCCGCAAAAAGAACATCTTACAGGGAATAAACAATATATTACATGGGGTAAGCAATATATTACAAGGGACAAACAATATCTTACAAAAAATTAACAATATCCTACAAGTGATAAACAATATCTTACAAGGTGTAAATTATATCTTACAAGGGACAAACAATATCTTACAAAAAAATTAACAATATCCTACAAGTGATAAACAATATCTTACAAGGTGTAAACTATATCTTACAAGGGATAAAAATATCTTACAAGGCATAAACAATATCTTACAAGGTACAAACAGCATCTTACAATGGGTAAATAATATCCTGCAAGAGATAAACAAGGTGTATAGAATATCTTACAAGGGTAAACAATATGTTACAAGGTGTATAGAATATCTTACAAGGGATAAACAATGTTTACAAATAGTAGAATGTCCTGCAGATAGTAAACCAATTTGTACAAAGGACAGTGTTTTACAGAAGGTAAACTGTCTCGTAGAGATTTTTAACAAATGTAGCACAGAGACAAACAATGCCTTACAAAGGATAAACAATCTCTTGTGTGCAGTAGATGGTGTTGTAGTAGTCTGGTGAAGGGTTGAAGAACAGTGTGTACCAGTCGCTGAACTGCTTCACCGGGCAGGACCTGATTTTCATCTGCCCTACGGGATCTGACAGGAACAGAGTTAACCACCCGGCCAGCACTGTTTCAACGAACGCAGACAAATGAAGCAACAGTACTGTTCTGGAAGGAGAACAAACATAATGTTTGTTAACAAATGAAATAACAGTTTGAAAAAAATAAAAAAACAATATCCTTAATGGAAACCGCTGCAGTGTAACACCTGCATGCTCACTAAGAGATTTGAAGGTCACAGGTTCAAGTTCCGAAGAGCCAGACCATTTTCAAAAAATGACCGCCGCTGCCAGGTCTATCCAGCCATAAATAAGTACCAGAGAAAGTCCTGGGAAGTAAAGGTGACAGGCACGATGTTGGCCCTATCATCCACCGAAGATCTATAAAATAGAGGTCTAGCCCTATATGCCCAATACAACTGAAGGTGTGGAAAATGGTCCTATACTTTACATACATTTATGGGATGTTGAAAACTAATCCAAGCTTTTGTTGGCCATCTCTGGTGTTGCAGGCAATTTTACATTTAGAAGTTCATCATTGCTTTCTGGTCAAGTCTCATGCCACTGTCAAAGTACAAACAGAGCAGCCTGCTGCCAAATCTTTATAGTACTGCTCTTAAACAGAACAAATCTATTTATCTGGTCTACTAAGAGGGCTCATTCGTTCATTCTGAAACAAGTTTTACAAATTTGGACCTCGTTCAACCAACAGTCAGCTTCAGTTATAAATGTGGTTGTTGTTCTGTGTTGTTATTCTGTCTTCGTCTTTCACATTGGTGTGTGATCATGCTCGATTTTTGTGTGTGTCTTTGGTTCTCATCCTCATCTGACGTAGCAGGGTTAGCCCTGAGATGAACTAATCCGCTTTGCATGTCCAATTGTGTTTGAGTTACAGGAAGTCACTGTTTGGCATCTTGTATATCTGTTGCCTTGAAAAAAAAAGGATAGGCTGGCAGGGCATTAACCCTATTGCTGCTATTGACGTATTTCGCCATTTAACCACAGACTGCTTGTCTTTGGATATTATCTGGTTTCTTGGCTATCACTGCTATTGGTCTAAAAAAACATTTCTGACTTTCCTTACAGACTTCTAAGGACTGTTTTCTCATGGTTCAAAGGGCAATATACATTAGCTATATTCGTATCCAACTGACCATTTGCATACTATTAAACACCCTACCACACGTGTATATTTCATGTGTTCAGGCCTGTTCAGATGCATTCAGTGTTATTCTGTTGCTTTGTTTACCATAGAAACATGGCTGGTGAACTGGGCAATTTTTGCCCTGAAATATATTTCTGGTTTTACATCAGTCTACATTTTATTTATTTGAAACGACAAGAAAATTTTTTAAAGCAGATAAAGAAATGATGGAGTTTCTTTTAAAAAGTGACGGTAAGGAATACTTTAAAATGTGAAAATTATGAGTTGGGTTATCTTCACTGCACTCTGGCAGGCATGTGTACTTCTGGCCGTGAGCAAGACTATCCGACCCAGCCATCATCACTAACAGAATTTGAAATTGATCCGCAATGATCAACAAGAATTTATGCAGTGACATAAATTTAATGATCTTCTATACTATACTATACAGACATGCGTCTATTCTACAATACTGGCGTTGCGTTGTTATTATCACGACTAGTGTGAGCTGGTCTCACATCAGCATTACAGTTGAAAGGTTCTGCCTTCAACCCTGCTGGACTTTTTAGTTTAAAATGTCAGTTTTTTTCGCAAAAAAATTTTTTATCTAAAGAAATGACATGGTGCCTACAATGGGTACCTAAGTTACTGTAGCTTATTTGCAGTATGTGATCAAGCCGTATTTGTAGTATACACCTGAAAATATACCACATCACATATTGGTGTCCTGATTAGGTCAGCTCTATGGCTAAGTATGCGAACGCTTCGTAATGCTGGGGTGCCCTAGCTGCGGGCCATGCACCTTGCATTGGTTCCCAAAGGCGGTATCAGGGGGGATCTTTAATGGCAAACTACTTTACTTTGCCTATAGAAACAGACAATGCATGCTGGCCTGTCTTTTATAGTCTGAAAGCAGTTGACTTATTTCTGCCTTGTAGCTGGTCACCTGTCCTGCCTTCAACCCTGCTGGACTTTTTAGTTTAAAATTGTAAATTTTCAGTTTTAGTTCTTAGCATTTTTGGCAATGGATGGTTCAAAAAATTTTTTTTTCTAAAGAAATGACATGGTGGCTACAATTTATACACTAAGTTACTGCAGCTCATGTGTTTCATTATGTGATCAATTAGTATTTGTAGTATACACCTGACAATATACAGAACAAATAGGCTAGGCTATAAATTATTGGTGTCCTCATTAGGTAGTCAGCTCTATGGCTAAGTCGATGCGAACACTTCGTAATGCTGGGGTGCCTGGTTCGATCCTAGCTGCGGGCCATGCACCTTGCATTGGTTCGACAGTGGTGGTATCAGGGGGCCGACCGTCCTGAAAGCAATGGCAAACTACTGGACGTAAATTTGCCTAGAGAAACCACACAACTGCCAGGGGTTGCTGGGGTTGGTCTGCAACGTCCTGTAAAGGATACGCAACTAACCTAACCTAAAAGAGAAATGATGAGAATAAAGGACAGAAACGACTTACTTTTTGGGCCGGGACAATCAAATCGATGAAGCCCCAGTGCAAGACTAGTGACACCAGTGCCATAAAGCCAAGGTACAGCCAGTCATAAAAAATATGGGAACACCAGCGCACCTCTGACAGACAGACTGGGAATCTGGCATGTAGCCTCTGGCACAAGGCTGCAATTATTGAAGGAAAACAAGAAAAGACTTGTCAATCAATCAGGTACCATTTTCGTCTTCTGCATTCACCCCTAACAGGGAGGGTGGCACAATGTTTTGTGGGATTACAGCTAGGCTGAGATATCTGAACTTTTCACGCACATTCAGTTTCAGCAAACCTTTTAGTTACCTTTTACAAGATGCTTACTGAGGACTTCTCCACATGCAGCTCTGGAACTCGTACAAGGAACTTGCCATCTACACACACACCAAAAGTTTTTGCTGCAATGGATGTCCAACACTCTATTCCTCAGCAGTACACTTTCTCAGGCTGCTGTTCTTTCCATCACATCAAATCCTACCCCTTGCTCAGTTGCTTTTAACCTCTCCCACCAGTACACTTTTTTAAAGAGCATTGTGTTTTAATATGGCTGAAATATTTACATTTTTATCAACCTTATATATATATATATATATATGTGTGTGTGTCTGTCTATTATAAGTGAACAGAGTCTAGCCAGAGATGACTACAACTTACTTGATTGGCATGGGCAGGTCATTATTCTATGCCTCAGGACAGGACATAATAAACTCATCAATCATATATGCACAGGCTTTGTCTAAGTAGTTCACCAGTGTCCCCATGGGTTGCAGACTACATGATGTTTTACATGTATTAAGTGAATAGTGTCTTTGCACAGTTCCCAGTTTCTGGAATAGAAATATTGTTATACTGGGTCCACACTGAATTTCTAGCAAGTTGTAGTTGAATTAAAAAGGAGGGAAGTCTCCTAAAAACAGTGGGAATGTTTATTAAAAGAATTTGTCGCCTATCAGTATGTGGAAAATTAGAAAGCGAACACAAGCCAGCATCTCAGTCAACATTAAATTAAAGAAGAAGAATAGTAATATAAATATGTATGTGTGTGCATACATACATAAACACACACAGGCATATGATATATAATATGTACATAATTGTGTCATATATATATGTGTGTGTGTGTATATACATGTGAATATCTCTATGTGAACACAGTCTAGTGTGTATACTACATACTTGAATATATATCATTATATGCCTAAAAAGTAATAATAAACAGCATTTTCACGCCTTTCGGCGCATCGGGCATATGGGCGTGGGCGTGACCCATATCCTTTGTACAGACCATCAGCACTACCTGTGGGTAATGTGGTCAGCATTACGCCCGGCTGTCTTTACTTTCCCAGGACAGCTTATCTGGTACACCTTGTTTAGGCTGGGTCGACCTGCGACAAGCATTAACCACGAAATAAAAATCCACGCTGCAGTGGGTTTGTATCGCGGTATGCTGGCTTACGTTTAGTTTATCATATGGACTCGCAACGCTTTAGCCACGGACGCCGCATATATATATATAAATTTTCACATGCTGATGATACAAATTCAGGTATGTTTTTTGTTTTTGTGTGTAGATAATGCCATGTGAGTATATATATACAGCCGTGTATGTGTATATGTGTGTGTATATATACATGTTTAATAATATATATATATGACATATATGTGTATGGATGGACTAAATCATGTATGCCAGTAATATATGTCTCAAATGTATTTTTTTTTTCATGTTGTATATTCCTCTTTGGGTGTGTCAATGTGTGACATATATTGATGTGTGTATGTATGATGTGTATATTTCTATGTGCCTCTATATATAGACACACTGTTCATGTGTGTATATATATGTATCTGATGTTATCTTTGCACCTTGCTCCTGGTATGCATATATATCTATGTATATCTTCTGTATGTGAGTATGTATATACATGTGTACTATATGGTGTGAAAATGCATTCTAACATGTGTGTATATATCCTTTATGTGAGTACAATAGTACATGTAACAGTATATAATATATACATGGAGATGTAATGTATTTAATGGGTATTATAACAACGGATCAATATATATGGCATGTATGTGTGTATGTATGTATGTGCTGTGTATCTATATATATACTATATGTGTGTGAGTCCGAAGAATCTCAGCCCAGTGCACGAAAACATATGCTGGCGAAAATTCTGAAATACTTTGGTTAGTTTTTGTTAGAAAAATCTTTTGCCTGGGTAGTACTGTGCTAGGTTTATAATGATAACCTTTTTTATGTGAGGATGGACTAAATCAGCTATCACAACTGCTGAAAATTCTCTTTTTTTTCCTTTGTCAATGGAGACAATCAACAATAAACAAAGACACTGTTCTGTTGTAGAGCTGCTCTGATGTTATCTTTCCACCTTGCTCTTAGATGCATTGTGCTCTATGTCCCTTTTCTCTTTACATATAAGCCTGGTACTGTATGGTGTGAAAAAGCATATTAACTAATTCCTTTACATGACACAACAGTACAAACAGAATCAAAGCCTACAGAAAATTGATGAAAAAAATACAAAACAAAAGCATAAACTTACACCACACTGGGTTTCACCGGGCATACGTCCACAGTATCTCCCAGGACAAATATCCTTTGCTGTTGAAGACAATTCAAGAATATTCAAAACTGATGCCAACTTTCTTTTAAGCTGGATATATGCATTCAGAGATTCTTTTTTATTATTCTGGGTTTGCTCTCAAAAGAGCAGTGGGCATGTTGTGTTGCAGTTTACAGCTAGGCTGTGATATCTGCACCCAACACATCCTTAACTAATCACCTTTTATGGCAAGTCTGTAAAGGAGCAGTGGGTCTAATTTCTTTTATCTTCTTCACATTCACCTGCTGTAAACTCTGAAGGAAAGTTTTGGTTGTTCATTTACCTCTGGACTGTAGACTTGTCCCAGAACCTGAGTATTGCGTGCTAATCTGTTTTACAGATCTGACTTTGTTATATGCAGACTGCTGGTTTCTTGCCTCTCAGGCAGATGCACTCTGGCTTCGAAGGAAACCCCCAATTAGTCAACTCCTAAGACATGCTTACTGGGGAGGCAGTAGGTCTATTCCTGTTTTCCCCAAACTGGGGCCCCTGAACCCACATGGTGAGGGTATATTTTACCCCCCCCCCCCCATACAATGGGATATCAGAACCCATATGGTACCTAAATAAATTTAAGACAACATTACAGTTTGTGCTCTAGTCCTAGGAAAAGGTACACAGTTCTTTTGTGCTTGTAAGTAAACGACCATGATACATTAGTGGTGTATGGGGTTTATGTTTCTAGACTACTATTTTTATGAACCAACTGGCATGCAGTGGGTGATGGGGTCTTCAGCATGTTGGCTACCTTTACTTCCATGGACATTTTCTGATGCCCATTTTAGGATGGATCTATATGGGAGCCAGTTTAAATCCGGATAGTGCTGGGCTTTTTTTTTCTTTCTCCAAAAGTTACCTTGGCTTCCCAGTCGACCCAGCCCGAAATGGGTACCAGGTAAAAGTCCTGGGAAGTAAAGGTGGCTAGCGGGATACTGAATACAACACCCACCAAGTGAGAATTGGTCTACGAAATATAGGTCTAATACTATTTACTCAATATGCCTGAAGGTGTGAAAGAAGGGTCCTTTACTTCCTGGGAGCCAAGGTCACCGTTTTTTCCCTTTAAAATCGGCATGGGACCCAGGAACCTTGAACCAGCAGGCAAACATTTAGTCATTATGCTACCGCAGTACCTCTGTGTTACTTATAAGTTCCTTCAGTTTATATAGGGTATACTGGTGGTATATTGATGCATGACAAGCCAGATGTTGTGAGGGCCCTTTGGGAGTGAGTGAACAGGCAAAGGCACACAAATATAATTACTGTCTGAAGAGAACAGTACTGCGAGGAGTGACCAGGGAATCTGTATGACTCTCAACACTTAGAGGAAGGGTGAGATGGATAAACAATCAGACAGTTACCGGTACCATCAGTACTGGAACTCTGGGCTGGCTGCTGAAGATGGGGAGGAAACGCTTATGGGAATGTCCCGCGTGCTGTGATGTCGATTCTTGACTAAATATATCCTTATGTAGGAGTTTAGTTAAATATACTTAATGTTTACCATTTTGTACCAAGCAGTAAAATTCCATCTTTAGCAACGGTCCAACATCCAATATTAGCGTCACAGTGCTGGGATATGCCCATACAAGCTCTCCCTCTCAGCTTTATTATGTTTATGTCTCTTATGTTTATTCAACGGATCAACATCACGGCACACGGGTGTAACTCATAAGTGCTCGTTCTACTTCTAACACATGCCTGAGTCTGAAAAAAATCAGCTTAGTGCACGAACTCCATTGCACCGGCGAGGATCCTGAAATACTTTGGGTAGATGTTAAACTTCGAATTTTTCTATTTCTAACTGCAAAAAGATTTTTTTTAAATGCCCAACAATACAATACACATGGGCATCCGGTCTTACCACTCAGAGACCAGGGAATATTACTAGAAGTCCACGTGAAAAAATCCTAGCCTTCACTGGGGTTTGAACTCCAGCACTCAAGGCAGATGCCATACCTCGAGACCACTCAGCCCCCTAACAGCATGTTGTAAAAGAGGACTAATTAAGGCTTGCTAAAACTGGATGTGTTGGCCAAAAAGGTACAAATATCACAGCCTCACTGTAAACCACCACATAAAGTGCTACCGCCCTTGAATGCAAATAAAGAAGAAAGCTATCTGTAGAAAAGAGTGTCTGAAGATGAGAAAAATGAATATACTTGACTGCACCAGGTTCAATATCCCATGTGGGTCAGTTTCCTTCTGGACAGCATGTTCACAAGGGATCACCAAAACACAAGAAAGATGTAGAGCAACATAAAACTCACAATCTTCAAGGTTCAGTGCAAACATATTGGTATATGATCTTTGAAGTTAACAAAGCAGGCTGTGAGAAAGATCATGTTGCATGGGAAACATAAGACGTCTACAACACTGCTCATGCTTTGTACTATGGAGAGGCAGAACTCTATCCATGGGCGATGATTCTCATACCTCCACATAGCACAACAGAACGCTGTTGACGAAAATATGCAAGCAACAACAAGGCACACTGCTGAATAAATTTTCTAAAGAGATGCCAGAAACCTTATGTACCTTGATCAAATTGTTTTCATAAAGTACTCTTCTTTCTTCTTCTTTCACATTTCATCCCCCAGTGGAGCATATGCCCTCAATAGAATTATGCCCAGTCCTTCACCCTTCATTATTGCATGCAGCTCAACCCATGTCCTCCTTATCTTTTTAACTTCCCTTTCTAACTCCTTTCTTCTCAGTGAGTTTTTATAGGTCTGCCTTTATTTCTATGACCCTGTGGGTTCCAGTGCAAAGACATTCTAGTTATATTATCAGCATGTATCCTATCCATAGCTAGCATCTTTTCTCTATCTTTTTGACCACTAAAACTTGTTTAGTTCTCTCCCAAAGCTCAGCATTAGTGATTCTATTGTATAATTTAATTCCTTCTATTCTGTGCTAGCATAAAGTACTCACCTTTTGTAAAAGGATATGGAACAACTTGGACAGACATTTGATCAGATTTACAATCGGCTGAATAAATTAAGATGTATAGAACCATCAGCAGGAGAGCTTTCACAACTGTGGCCATAGTGTAATCTTTTTTTTCAGCTCTTGAAGTCTTCAAAGCATTTGAGTGGACAGCTGAATGTTAAATCTTCCAGTAGTTTCAAAATACCAAGATAAAACTGTTCCCAGGCAAACTGATTTTGCTAGATGTATAGAAAAAAAAAAGAATATTAAATAAGCTATTCATGAAAAATGATTTTAAAAAAGATAATGAAACAATGGGTGGTGAACTGATGCATAACAATCTAGATGTGGTCAAGGCACTTTGGAAGCAAGTGAACAATGTAGTAGCACAAACAGATCATTACTGTCTGAAGAGTATGGTACAGCTAAGAATGACCAGGGGATCTGACCAACACTGTATATTCTTCTTCTTCTTCTGTCCTCTACTCCTGGACAGCCTCTTGGCATCAGGGAAGGAAGAGATCTCCAGAATAGGCACTTCTGTTCGCTTTGTAAATAGTACTTTTCAGTGTCTCTGATATTTCTGCTGTCTATATTCTGTGTGGTCGACCTCTAGGTCTGTTAAAGTTGTATCTGTATCACACTGCTCCCTGTGGTGTCCTGTCTGCTGCCAGTCTGTATGCTACGAGAAAAGATTGGATGGACATATGATCACAGTGCTGTTACCACCAGATCTGGATCTAGTCGTCGGCTGCAGAATAGGGGAACAAGGCAATAATGGGAGTGTTTCAACTGCTGTCATATCGGCTATTAACTGAACTAAACAAATATAAAACTCATGAGTCCATCAAGTCTGTTAGGGAGAGAACATCCTCCACCAATACATGGTGATCAAGGGTGTTTAATTTGCATGTGGTTGTTTTGCTGCATGGCTGAAAGTAGTGGCAATATGATTCATCCATGTCAATATTTGCAACAGTAATACATCACCTTCCGCTCTGCAACACGCTAGTGGCTGAAACTCCACTTCTTTTGGTAGAGCCCTAGTAAATAATTACATGCCTGATTAAAGGTTTTATGTATTTTTAAGCAAGTTAGCATGTCGCCTCTTTGTAAATGTATGTGGTTTCCAGGTGTGTACTGGGGGGGGGGGGGAAGGGGGCATACATTAATAATCAACGGACATTGCAATGACAAGTCTTCAAGAACAAATAATAATCAGAAACAAATAAAATGTCAAAGACCCTGAAGTAATACTTTACTGCATTAAGCAAATATTATTAGGTAAACAAATGAAATGCATACTGATATATAGTTGCTAAGAAGTTTAGTCACAAACAAGTTATAGATATCAAGTATTAAGACACATGATCTGAATGTGCCAAAACCGTATTTTCTTATATTTTCCTATTATTTGTATAAACTGACACTCAAACATTAATATCTCTTACAATTTGTGTTTTCAGTTCGAAGGATTCACTTATTTGCTTCATGTTAATTATGTGTTATTGTTATTGTAGTATGCATCTGACGAGTTACAGCAAAATATGCTTCGCAATAAATTGCGCAATCTATTGTTTAAAGTGTACAGCCGGGAAACATTGCTTTGATTAATATCTGTTTACTAAAATAATTCTAAATATTATTAATTTTCTCTTGCTTGCTCAGTCAGCCATCACATTTTCAGTATTGCCTATTGGAAGCTAAACTTATAATATGGCACTAATGCCTATTTTTTCTTTAAAGAAATATTCAAGAAAAGAACGGGTAAACCAAAGTCTTCTATTTGTAGTAATGAGTACGTGTCTAAAAACGATAAGTGATAAAGTGATGTTATTAACGACGTTAATAATTCCAAAATATAACAAACAACCATAATTGCAGTGATTGTTGTGCCATCTCTGGAACAGTGTTGACAGGTTAGAGGTCATTTCCGTTCACAATTAAATTGTTTAAAAAAAATGCACCCACCAACGAAACAAAACAATTTGAAAATATTATTTATAATCACAAAAATTCAAATAATATAAGAGTTAATGCACAAGAAACCCACATAAATATGAAACTTGTTCGCATAAATAATGTGCACTGAGCTATTATTGTTAAAACCCAGATGCACAACATTGTGCTCTTAATTCTTAAACCTAACAGCCTTTTTTATTTTTATATAGCCATGGCGGCATCTGGCTAAATGAGCAAAAAGAATGTGTTCGTGTTGTACATCAGTTCGTTAAATAATGAATCAGATTATTCGGAAATTACAAACTCTTCAACAATCAATTTTGGACAGTCATTTTAAATCTACTTTCAAAAACTCAGTAACAGCTCCAAGAAGTAATATATTGCTGACTTTATTGGAGCAGTGGATAAATTCGACGTCGCAAATCTACAAGTACAAGGTGAACTCAAACCAAGCTGCAAGGCAGAATAATGTGAAGAGTGTGAGCACTGTTGTCACTAACGTATTCAAACATTTCATAAAGTCATCTGAATATTCAAACCTAGTAAAAGATGTCAATATACCAAACACAATTTGCAGGACTTGGACACGCAGGCAGTCGCTTTCAAAGTCATACCAAGTTTTGACCGCAGCTTTGTTCACTTTTGCTACTAATGGTCTTCTGTATCTCAGCCTACCTTTCCTGAAGCTGAACGGTTGTCACACGATTGAAGCTGCTTCTCCAGTTTCTGCTGGTAGAAATTTTATTGCAGATATTGTTGCCAAGGCTATACCAGCTGTTGTGTTTATTGAAATTAAAGGAAGGTAAATAAAAAAAAAAAAAAAAATTAAATTATAATTCGTTGTCACTGCGACAAAGTCACCAAAGTGCAGTTGTGTTCATTTTCACCTAAGTGAATTTTTGTGGTTATCATTTGTCACATTACAATATGTGAACGCATACGAATTCATACTTGAAGTAGGTCAGAATGGAGTACAGTGCATGCCTGATAAGGAGAACTCACCAGGAACCCAAGCAATATTTCTTCTTGTAATAAATTCCTCTTATCCAGATAGGTGTTCAAGGATGAAAAATTGCCGGGGATAAATAAAGTGTTTTTCACAACATAAATTCGCCACATCCGAGATCGCCTTAAGCGGTCTGCATTGTATTACTTATGACACAAGTACCCAGTTTTCATCTGATCTCAGTGTTCACACGTGGGGTTCTCGAAACGAGGATTTATCACTCAGGTGACTTTGGCGTTGTGCTTAACGAATATATTAGTTAAGTCAAAGTTAGTTGCGTATCTTCACAGGACATTGCAGAAGCAACCATAACATATTTTGGTTGTTGTGGTTTTTCTAGGCAAATTTTCGTCTAGTAGTTTGCCATTGCTTTCTGGATGGTCAGCTTTTCGATACCACTGTCGACACCATCGCAATGCGAATATATCAGTAGGGAAGAGAAAAAGAGTTTACATAGGATATGACTGCATTGATGTTGTTAGTTTTATCCCATATGGCTCGGTCTTTGCTGTCGACAGAGCCGAATTCGGCACATCGTCGCACGAAACATAAAACTGCAGAACCCGCGATGACCTCCCCCCCCCCCCCCTTTTTTTCCCGCCTCAACCCATTCTCCGAAACAACTGGACTGACGAACCAAAAGACAAGTATCCAAAATCGAACCTTCAACATTCAGACAGCAAGGCAAAACATGTCCTGTATGACGGATACATGACTGGCCATTAAAGCCTCTAAATTTTTTGCTTCTCGCCACGGTTTGCTGATGCAGTTTACCCATTTCTGGAATAGGAGCCCTAGTGATCAATTGCCCAACTACCGAGCTGAGTGCTGTGTGCGACACTGTGAGTTGTGGATTTCATGTGGACTTTGTTTTTCCTATGCGCTTGGTGGTTTCTGTGTTGTGAACCGCACTGACAAAGTGAATAGCCGACTGCATTGTGACTGGCTTGTCTTCTTTGCAGTTTGCGTGTACAAATGCTGACTTGTTGGCGTGACTGACTGCTTAACAATGAGCTGCAATTCTGTGTATGTTGGGGGGGGGGGGGGGGGGGGGGGGACGCTGCTAATTTTGGTACATCTGGCGGCTGCCGTATGCATTTATATACGCTGTTTGTGCTAACCCCCCCCCCCCTTTCCACCTTATCCCCAATCCATTTTTCCGTGGGTTGGGGGGGGGGGGGGGGGGGCTCAAGGTTCACGATGCCACCTTGTTCTGGCTCCTCTCGATGTGAACCGGTTTCATTAACCTCCTTTCACTCGAAAGTTGTCACTTCTACCGATGTAACACATTGAAGTTGTCACTTCTACCGATGTAACACATTGAAGTTGTCACTTCTACCGATGTAACACATTGAAGACGTATATGTGACCTCAAGCAGGAAACAGGTACACATTTTTTTTTTCCTTACGACTGCAATTTTACGGAGATCCCTGTGGGATCATCGCCAGAGCTACGGAGATCGTGCTCTATGCGACGCTCTCGGCAGGCAGCTAGCTGTTCTGCGGAGAGCGAGACTGTCCCATATGGGATAAAACCGTACGCAATGAAGTCGATCCTCTCACCTTTACCTGTATGGTTGTAAACGTCGGCGGGAAGTTCTGGTCGTCAACATCCAAACTTTTAGTCTTGTTCCATAACCTGTATTTTGTGTGCATATCCGTTTTACAGATGTGGCTATTTGTATGCAGACTCTTGGTTCCTTGCGCCTCGGCCAGATGCACTGTGACTTCGAAGGATGCTCCTAACTAGTCGACTCATAAGACATGCATGCTGGGAAGGCAGTGGGTGTATTTGTGTTTTCCCCAAAACAGGTCCCCAGAACCCACACAGGAAGCTGTATGTAGATCTTTCGATCTTCAAAACTGCGATCCGGGATTTTTAAAATAAGTAAATCATCATAAGTGGGTGATTTGTCCACAGGCACCCGAAGAGTGGCAAGCGAGTGACTCTAGCCAACGGTTCTGGATTTATTGTCAGGAGCAACGGCCTCATCCTGACCAACGCGCATGTGGTGGCGAATAAACCCAAGGTGATCGTGAAGCTGCACAACGGCTGCACCTACGAGGGAACGGTCATAGCAGTGGACCCTGTCTGTGATCTGGCAACTGTGAAGATAGACTGTGAGGTCAGAGGATCAACCGCATCATCATCATCATCATCATCATCGTAGACACCCGTATTATTATTGCCATTATCATTGTTATCATTACCATTATCATCGTCGCTATAACTTTTCTTTGTGTTCTCCGGCTGTAAATTCCAGCAGAAAGTTCGGGTTGTTCGCCCACTTCTAGACTTAGGTATTGTTATCTGAAAAATTACGTTGCAATTTTTTTTATACATTCGGCCAAGACTAGTCAACTGACGGCCAGTAAAGGCCAATCAAACCCGCGGATCGTATCTAATTAGACTGTATTAATGATCTGTCTATAATAGGGCTTTGTCAGCTGTGGCGAATAAGTGACCTTTCTATGCTGGGTATAAATATATAATTAACAAAGAGACAATTTATTGATCGGCACTCATAGAAAGAAGTAGAAAGACAGAATGACACACTAGAGAACATAAAAATCGAAAGCTGAGGTTACATTGCCAGGAATCGAACTTATCAACCACAGTTGGTGTCTGCGCCTCGCTTTGGAAACAAGTGAACTAAGAACACAGCCAACTAGCTAGGCAATCCTCCAAAAAATGTGTCTTCGTTGGCATGTCTATCGTACCGCTTGAAATCCACAACTAAGGAATACGGACAGAGTTAATCCTAAACGACATAAATGACACCAAAGGTTACAAACATTTAAATTAACCAGGAATAGGTCAAATAACAAACACAGCAACAATTTACAAGCATAGCAGAACGTAATGCTTTGTCTAGAATACATGAACATTTAGGAAAGAGTTTTGATTAGTGGGGTTCATCATGTTACACGATCATTCACATACATATATTTTATTTCTATGCTGAGTCTCGGACCTCTGGACTGCGGCGATCCCAGTCTTCAACATTTTTACCCCTAGGTAAACTTGACTGAATATCCTTGCTGAAGTTAGCCATTTTGGGACAAATGAAAATTAATCAATCCTCGGGTCTTTTGCAGAACGTTGCTCTCCTCACGGCACGCATGAAAGTCTTTATTTTTCTAACCAGTTATCCATCTTTGTGCCGTAATAACCAATGCATCCATAGTGTCTTGTATCCACATTAGCGGAGGCCCGTCCCTGCCCTCCTGAAACGGCACCTGCCGTCATCGTTCTCTCCAGACCACCCTTGGCGCTTATCATGTCCAGAGTAGCTCAGCTTTCGGGAGAGGATGCTGTTTATGAACCAGTTCTACTTCATATTCAGGTCCTGCAGGATGTCGGCGTTTTCCTTCTGCTTGGTCCACAGTATTCTAGAACACTGACCTGATTCATGAATGCGGTGATCGTGTGAGATGGCGTAACACGAGAGCCCACGCTGGTCGGTACTGCACATGATGACGACGCGTGTTATAGCTGAGTTAGGACTTTTACTGTTAAAGTCGAGGGGATCAACTCCATTTCACGAGGCTTTATATCATACAGCTCGGTCTTTCTTTAAAGAGAACAGCTCTTCTCGAAGGCTCGCTCTCTAAGTCTGTTAAGACATGCTCTTACGCCCTTAGTCTGCCCCTCCCCCCCCACCTTTTTTCTCTCTCTGTAGCTTAGGCGTTGAGAACTCACTTTCTTTCTTTCTTTCTTTCTTTCTTTCTTTCTTTCTTTCTTTCTTTCTTTCTTTCTTTCTTTCTTTCTTTCTTTCTTTCTTTCTTTTTCTTTTCTTTTTCTTTCTTTCTTTCTTTCTTTTTCTTTCTTTCTTTCTTTCTTCTTTCTTTCTTTCTTTCTTTCTTTCTTTCTTTCTTTCTTTCTTTCTCTTCTTTTCTTTTCTTTCTTTCTTTTCTTTCTTTCTTTCTTTCTTTCTTTCTTTCTTTCTTTCTTTCTTTCTTTCTTTCTTTTTCTTTCTTTCTTTCTTTCTTTCTTTCTTTCTTTTTTTTCTTTCTTTCTTTGTCTGTCTGTCTGTCTGTCTGTCTGTCTGTCTGTCTGTCTGTCTGTCTGTCTGTTCTGTCTGTCTGTCTGTCTGTCTTGTCTGTCTTTCTTTCTTTCTTTCTTTCTTTCTTTCTTTCTCTGTCTGTCTGTCTGTCTGTCTGTCTGTCTGTCTGTCTGTCTGTCTGTCTGTCTGTCTGTCTGTCTTTCTTTCTTTCTTCTTTCTTTCTTTCTTTCTTTCTTTCTTTCTTTCTTTCTTTCTTTCTTTCTTTCGATAGCCTTGTTTTGGTTTCGACAGTGGTATCGGCAGCGGAACTGCTCGGTGGCAATGGCAAACTACTGAACCTAAAAGTGCTTAGTGAAATCAAAACAGTTCTGGAGCTGGTTGGTCCTGCAACATCTTGTAAAGTATACGCAACTAACTCCAAAACATCTCGGCAACTTCCGCATGCTATTTGCTGAACTAAGAATCGACATCTTACCAGACCCGTCTTATCTATAGATTCTCAGACACCCGAAGCATATGTGTTCTGTCTATCTCTATCTGTCTATTATCTTTCTCTGTTTAATGCTGTTAGATGTCATAGACACGGCAGATGATCGGTTTTCGGGATAGTGAGCTCTCGTTAACTTGCTGCATCGAGATATTGTTGAGTTTCAACAAGTTGTCAACTCCATCTGTCCATCTTCGTCTTGGCATTTCTCGGCCTCTGGATGTTTCCAATCTCCTGTTGTAGGCTCTCGCAACCGGTGACGCTAGGTTCATTCTAATCAGGTGGCCAAACCATTTCAGTCTTTGTTTTTCAATGAATCTAAACACAGGTGTTGTTAGTATATATGTTAGTAAAGTACAAGTAAAAGACCCCTTACCACGCCCTTCAAGAGTATTGGGCATATAGGGCTAGCCCTACATTTTATAGACTTATCGGTGCTTGGTAGATGATGTAGGCCAGCATTAGTTTTTGAAATATCTTGATAAATGTCGAGTACAAATTTGGCTATTTTCCGCATAAAATATGACATTTTCAATCAATTTCGGTGAAAATATGTTGATTTTAGCCACCTAAAATTATTTCCCTCCAATCTTTAACTAGTATGTACTTATAGAAAGCATTATTTCCAGCAGACATAATCAAATTCAATTAGGGGGTTTAACCTGCCTTTAAAAATCTGGCTTAATTTTATACAGACTGTTGGTTCCTCGCCTGTCAGGGAGATGCGCTGCGACTTCAAAAAGATGGACGATCCTCAATTTCAGTGTGCTGTTTATCTTCCCTAAATGCTAATTTACTCAAAATATCTAACCCGAATCGGCCGGCGTGATGCTTACCATGTCACCCACTAAGTGCTGTTTGGTCTATAAAGTATAGGTCTAGCCCTATATACCCAATACGCCTGATGGGCGCGGAAAAGGGTCCGTTACTTTACTACAGGTTTAGTCCGGAAAGCTAACATGAGACCGGTTTTGGGCGATCTGGCCTTTTTTATACACAGTGGCCAGGTTTCTTCGCATTTGCACATCAAACTAAATCAAGGTATTCGTCGTCGTACGGCTACATTACTTTACGTTTACCTAACCAGAATGACAAACTGCCGACGATACCGCTGGGAAAGTCATCGACCATACGACCAGGAGAATTCGTTGCCGCTATGGGCAGTCCTCTTTCTCTCCACAAGACAGTCACCGTGGGTATTGTCAGCAGCCATCTCCGAGGGAGCAAGGAACTGGGCATGAACAACAAAAACATGGAGTATATACAGACGGATGCAACCATTGGTGTAAGTACAAATAGCTCGAGCTTCGTAATGCCGGGGTGCCGGGCTCGATTCCAGCTGCAGAAATTGTGCCTCGCGTGGGTTTCGACAGTGATATCGAGAAGCCGAACGTCCAGGAAAGCAATGACAAACTAATGGATGTAAATTGGCCTAGATTAGTTCTGCAATGTCCTGTAAAGGATACAGAACTAACTTTTTTTAAAATAGTTCCACATTGGTTCTTAAAGAGAGGTGACGAATCCCTAAAACTGCGTTATTTAAACTTTTTACACCAGCGTGAAAAACAGTTATGAGAAAACCGGCAGATACAAAGACAAAGTTATAGATCTCTGGTTCCCTTACGGTACGGACGATAATACAGGGGGCGGCCACGACGCAACAAACCATTGTATGGGAGAGGGGTGGCTTAGCATTCCTTGTACATTTCTAGAGGCAGCGGACGCAAAGGCTTTAAACCTTGTTATGGGCGCAGTAATAATAATTATTATTGATGTTATTTTGATAAGTGGGACTGTGAAAACAAATACTTTTGCTTACCAAAAAAAAAAAAAAAAAAGTCTTTAGATTGTGTGAGTATGTGAGTGTGGTGTGTGTTGGCAATCCGGACCAATTACTAACGATAGTTAATGGTAAAACGCACCTAATTACGAAATACTCTGGCGAACTAGAATGATAACAAAATGCTGACTTCTAAAAAGTAACCAGTTCCCCGACAAACTAGAACGGCTGAAATAGTGGCCGAGAGCTAAAAAGTTCCCAATTATGCATTATGTGGCAGATTTGGCGTGCAACCAAAAATAAAAACATGGCTAAGTGCTAAAAAAATAGCATAACCATGGATGACCTGGCATGGTGTGCTGGCAGCTAAATTGTGGCTAACAGATAAAGAGCAACTCTCTTTGTGAATATTTCATTAAATTTCAAAATGTCACATGTCTGATGTACAAACAAAAGGCTTAAATTTGTGGACATTCATGATAGTTTTTCTGCTTCTCACTACGTGGTGATTCGAGAATTTAAATACTGGTGAAAATATGGGATTCTGCAGTGGAGCCGAAACCTTCTACTTCTTCTTTGCCCTCACCGGCTGTAAACTCCAGCGAAAAAGTTCTGGCTGTTCGTCCACTTTGATCTTGTTTCAAAACTTGAACTTTGCCTGCATATCCGTTTTACAGATCTAACTTATTTGTACGCAGAATGTTGGTTCCTTGCCCCTCAGGCAGCTGCATTCTTGAAGAAGATAATCCACTATATAGTCGGCTTCACGATATGCTTGTTAGGGGAGAGGTGAGTCTCCTCCCCCACCCCTCCCTAAAATGAGACAATGGAACCCACACGGTAAGAGCCGAAATGAAGAAGTGAATCAACTCAGCACGACTAGAATCTTATGACCTCTTCCGAGCTGCCCATTCATCTGTTGTTGTTGTTTTTTTTTTTCAACCACAACGGCCTCTTTGAGCCATCTGTCTTATTTTTATTTGCACATCCAGTGTGATGTTGATTCATCGTATTCATAAACATGTTTGGTACCTTGGGCCAGATTAAGACTTTTCAAGTCTTCAAGCTGTCTAAAGACCCGAGGCCCCAGTACAATGGGGCTTAAAAGAAAATCTCAAAAGTCTCTGACAGACATAATAATCTCCACGCCGTTGTCTTGTAACATATACTAGACCTTCATTTGCCGATGAATGTATAAAGGTTTCAGGGCTTCGCTGATTAAAAGCAAACGGATACCAGAACACTGCTCCTCTTGGGGTGCATGTTAAAAGTGGGGCGACTATCTTTAAACTGTTATTGGGATGTCACCGTATCCGTCAGCACCGTGATGTAATTTGCTTAACACTCTTGACATCATTTACAATGATGTTGATAGGTTACACAATATTGTGTCGGTGTCTGTGGCTTAGGCGTTTCGAATGCGCTCCATAATGGCGGGGTACCGGGTTCGATCCTAGCTGCAGGTGATTTGGCAGCTGAACGCCTTGCACTGGTTTCCACAGTGGTATCTAAAGCCTACCGTTGAATGGCAAACTACTGAACGTACACATTCGCCGAGAAAACCCCACAACAGCCACTCACACATACACACAGACACATACACAAATCATTACCATCATCAGGTGCCTTGCCGACTGGCATGGGCGATCATGCCTCTTCATAATCTGCGATCTCCTGCAGCATGTATCAGTTCGTGTGCTGACACACCTCCATGCCATGCAACAAGACTGTCAAGCATCTTCTCTCGTTGTCTTCCTCTATCCCTCCTTCTACAGAGCTTTCCAGTGGTTACAACATGTTTTATTTTCCCTCTTCTCATAACATGGCCGAAAAATGATGACTGTCTCCTTCTGATGTCTGTGATAAGTTGTCTTCGGGCTCCCGCCTCTTTCAAAACCTCTTGGTTGCTCTTTTTGGCTGTCCAAAGTATTCTAAGGACATACACACACACACACAAAATGCAGGAGTTGGTTTTGCAACGTCCTGTAAAGGACACCCGGTGGGCTCTCTGCGGGCTCAAGGTGCTGCTATGAGGAAAAAAAGGGGGAGGGGAGAAGGCAAGACGAGTAGTTAACCAGATGACAAGTACCCCACCAGTATGGAGACTTTTTGCGGGATTTTGAGGAGGGAGACGGAGCTAATATGGGCTTGTCCTGAATGCTGCAATGTCGAATCTATACCCAAATATTATATAAAATATGTGATTATATTTATTAACCACTTAGCATATTATTATTATTATTTGAACAAGACATGTTATTTAAATCGTTCCCCCTACAACCTCTGAAAATTTATAAAAGGGTTGAGCCACATCCCAATATTTTTTTTTGGGTGTGCAAATTTAATGAAGCTTTGTTTGACTTTTTTTTTTTTTAGCTGGGCAACTCCGGAGGGCCACTAGTAAACCTGGTATGTTCAGTGTTGATACGTATGATTATTTTATTTAAAAATGTGTTTTGTGTACATTAGGGTAAAAGGTTAAGAGCGCTGGCCTCTCCCTCGTGGAACCCAGGTTCGAATCTTCGGTAAGGTTGTGGACATTTTTCTTCTGGGGGTGAAACCTCACCCTCACCCTTTCCCACTCCCACCGCAAAAGTGGTAAGTATGGGCAGTGGTTCAAAGAAGAAAAGAAGTAGAGAATGTTGAATCTATCCCAACCCACACGGTTCGCTGTCCTAAATCGTCAGACAAAATCAGGCCCGTGCAATGTTTTGATACAGAGATACGGCCGCACCAGGCGACACCGTAAGGGGCGGCATAAGCAGCGAAATCAAAATGCAATTTGAACTTTTGATCTGTCAGCGCGAAGCTCAAAGGGATAGTATTTCGAAGTCTGTCATCATACTGAGACAATCTACCACACGGGACTGGGCACAACACCTTACTGATCCACGCCACCGTACGGGACTGGACACAACACCTTACTGACCCACACCACCACACGGGACTGGACACAATACCTTACTGACCCACACCACCCACGGGACTGGACACAATACCTTACTGACCCACACCACCCACGGGACTGGACACAATACCTTACTGACCCACACCACACCGCAGCAGGGACTGGTCACAACACCTTACTGATCCACACCATACCACTGCACGGGACTGGAAACAACACCTTACTGACCCACACCACTGCACGGGACTGGACACAACACCCTACTTACCCACACCACTGCACGGGACTGGACACAATACCCTACTGACCCACACCACTGCACGGGACTGGACACAACACCCTACTTACCCACACCACTGCACGGGACTGGACACAATACCTTATTGACCCACACCACTGCGCGGGACTGGAAACAACACCTTACTGATCCACACCACTGCACGGGACTGGAAACAACACCTTACTGATCCACACCACTGCACGGGACTGGAAACAACACCTTACTGATCCACACCACCGCACAGGACTGGACACAATACCTTACTGACCCACACCACTAACTTGGCTGAATAAGGACTGTAGGAGAATGATGCAAGATTAGAAATAATTATTTTTGGTTAACAAAATGAAAAATATTTAATGCAATCTTTTTTTGTCAATTGATGTGTATGGAAGTGAATGATGGACAGTTGATAAATTAGTGAAAACTTATTTGGAAGCTGGGAGATCTGGTTTTATATACGAATAATGTGAATAGCCTGGAAAGATAACAAGAGTAATTAGGATTTCTTGAAAGAAATTGACTCACGATGAGACATGATTTCCCACATCAGAAAGAGACAATCTACATTCCTTGGTCATGTGATGAGAAGGAACAATACTGGAGTACATCGTGACATTAGGAAAGTTGGAGGGGAGGAGAGGCAGAGGAAGACCGGGAGAAAAGATGCTGGACAGTTTGACATCATGGCACGGAGGAACATCTGTGTTGATTGAAAGTACATGAGAGAGAAGGTTGTTCCCTGTGTGGGTTTCGGGGCCTATTATAGGGAAAACAAGAATAGATCCACTGCCTACCCAAAAGCATGTCGTAAGAGTCGACTAATTGGGAACTTCCTTCGAAGTCGGAGTGCATCTGCCTGAGAGGCAAGGAACCAGCAGTCTGCATACAAATGAGTCAGATCTGTAAAACGGACACAACGCTCAGGTTATGGAACAGGACTGCAGTCTATAAGTGGACGAACAACCAGAACTTTCCACCAGAGTTTACAGCTGATGAACGCGACGAAGAAGAAGAAGAATGTAGTAGGATAGACATGACTACTAACGCCACACGGCATGGACTTTGTGAAGAACTCTCTGTCAGGGAGTCGCCGTCTCTCTTGCCGTCTAGACTTTCGCCTGCGGATCTCTCTCTCTATAGATTCTCTCTAACTGTCCTCATCTGTTTCTCTCTGTCTCTCTCTCTCTCTCTCAAGTCTCTCTCTCTGTGGTTCCAGGTTCTCTGTGGGAAGTCTGTCTCTCTGCGGATCTCTGTCTCAAAATCACTCTCTCTCGTCGATTGGTCTTAAAAAAAATCTCTCTGGCCCTCTCTGTCTCCTCTCTCTCTGGCGTGGAAAAGGGACCTTTCTCTTCTGTCTCTCTCTGTCTCTCTCTCTGTCTCTCAACACGTCTTTCTCTTACTGTCTCTCTATCCTTCGCTATTCCTCTCCTCTATGTCTTCTGAGCTGTCTTTCTCTCTCTCTGTCTCTCAAAGCAAAGGTCTCTGATGCTAACAACATTCTCTTGGTCTCTCTCTGTCTCTCTCTCTGTCTCTCTCTCTCTCTCTCTCTTTCTCTCTCTCTCTCTCTCTCTTTCTCTCTCTCTCTGTCTCTCTCTTTCTCTCTCTCTCTCTCTCTCTCTCTCTCTCTCTCTCTCTCTTCTCTCTCTCTTTCTTTCTCTCTCTCTTTCTCTCTCTCTCTCTCTCTTTCTCTCTCTCTCTCTCTCTTTTGTCTCTCTCTCTCTTTCTCTCTCTTCCTCTCTCTCTCTCTCTCTCTCTCTCTCTCTCTCTCTCTCTCTCTCTCTCTCTCTCTCTCTCTCTCTCTCTCTCCCCCCTTCTTTTGAAACTAACAAGTTGAGCTGAGTTGAAGACCGACATCATAGCACACTTAATATTCCCATAAAGGCACTCCGTCTCATCTTCAGCAGTTGATCGGCGACCGGGTCGCCCATTGGCACCCAGGTAGACGACTTCGTCGCCGGTCGGTCGCCCATTGGTACGCCGGTAGACGTCTTCGTCGCCGGTCGGGACAGTATGTGGGTCAGTCTCCTCTGATCACATTAATACTGCAGGTGTCCTTGGAGCTACTTGGTGGCGAGCAGCCCTAAACCATTTTATATGGCCCACATAACCTAGTCACAATTATAACCTAAAGCTCCCCCTTCGGGGATGCTGGTTGAACGTGACGATTTTCTCTCTCCAGCAAAACACCTACCTACATGCCTGCCTGACTACCTACCTACCTACATACCTACCTACGTGCATGCCTACCTACATGCCTGCCTACCTACCTACGTGCCTGCCTACTTGCCTACCTACCTACCTACCTACCTACCTACCTACGTGCCTGCCTGCCTACCTACCTACCTACGTGCCTACATACCTACCTACGTGCGTGCCTAGCTACCTACCTACCTACGTGCCTGCCTACCTGCCTACCTACGTGCCTGCCTACCTGCCTACCTACGTGCCTACCTACCTACCTACCTACCTACATGCCTGCCTACCTGCCTACCTACCTAAGTGCCTACCTACCTACCTACCTACCTACCTACCTACCTACCTACCTACCTACCTACCTACCTACGTGCCTGCCTACCTACCTTCCTACGTGCCTGCCTACCTACCTACCTTCGTGCCTGCCTACCTGCCTACACACGTGCCTGCCTACCTACCTACCTACCTACGTGCCTACCTACCTACATGCCTGCGTGCCTACCTACCTACCTTCGTGCCTGCCTACCTACCTACCTACGTGCCCACCTACCTACCTACTACCTACCTACCTACCTACCTACCTACCTACCTACCTACCTACCTACCTATCTACTTACCTACCTACCTACGTGCCTGCCTACCTACCTACGCGCCTGCCTATCTACCTACATACCTACGTGCCTGCATACCTACCTACGTGCCTGCCTATCTACCTACCTACGTGCCTGCCTACCTACCTACGTGCCTGCCTACCTACATACGTGCCTGCCTACCTACCTACGTACCTACCTACCTACCTACCTACCTACATACCTACCTACCTACCTACCTACGTGCCTGCCTAGATACCTACGTGCCTACCTACCTACGTGCCTGCCTGCCTACCTACTTACCTACCTACGTGCCTGCCTGCCTACCTACCTACGTGCCTGCCTACCTACCTACCTACCTACCTACCTACCTACCTACCTACCTACCTACCTACCTACCTACCTACCTACCTACCTACGTGCTTGCCTATCTACATACGTGCCTGCCTACCTACCTACGTGCCTGCCTATCTACCTACCTACCTACGTGCCTGCCTATCTACCTACCTACCTACGTGCCTGCCTATCTACCTACCTACCTACGTGCCTGCCTATCTACCTACCTACCTACGTGCCTGCCTGCCTACCTACTTACCTACCTACGTGCCTGCCTGCCTACCTACCTACGTGCCTGCCTACCTACCTACCTACCTACCTACGTGCTTGCCTATCTACATACGTGCCTGCCTACCTACCTACATGCCTGCCTATCTACCTACCTACCTACGTTCCTGTCTGCCTGCCTACCTACATACCTACTTGCCTGCCTGTCTACATGTCAACCTACCTACCTCCTTACACTATCGTCTGGAAAGACGGAAAGGTGCTAATAAAAAATGAACCTACATACCTACTTGCCTGCCTGTCTACCTACCTACCTACCTACCTACCTACCTAACTACCTACCTACCTACCTACCTACCTACCTACCTACCTATTTACCTACCTACCTATTTACCTACCTACCTATCTACCTACCTATCTACCTACCTAACTATCTACTAACCTACCTATCTACCTACCTATCTACCTACCTACCTATCTACCTACCTACCTACCTACCTATCTACCTATCTACCTACCTACCTACATACCTACCTACCTATCTACCTACCTACCTACCTACCTACCTACCTACCTACATACACTATTGTCTGGAAAGACGGAGCGGTGCCAATGAAAAATGAACCTACATACCTACCTACCTATCTTCAGCAGCCAGCACAGAGTTGCGACGGTACCAGTAACAAGTCTGTTTTGGCTTTCCCCTGAGTCTTGAATATCAGCCTCTTTCTTCTTCTTAGCGATCACTGTCTGTTAACTCCGGCAGAAAGTCCTAGTTGTTCGTCCACTTCTAGACTTTGGTATTGTTTCAGAACTTGAATTTTTTCGTGCTCATCCGTTTTAGAGATTTGCCCCCCCTCCCCCCCGCATTTTAGCCAGCAAATTTGCCACAAGAAACAATCACAATCATAACTAAAAGCACCTTTTTCTTGCCACCCCCCCCCCTCCCCCCCAAAAAAAAAATCTGTCAAGACTGCTGGTTCCTCGTCTCTCAGGCACTCTTGACTTCGTAGGAAACTCCTAATCAGTCGACTTTTACGGCATGATTTTAGAGGACAATGGGCCTGTGCTTCTCCCCTTTCTGCAAAGGGGCCGTGGAACCCACACGGGGAAGAGAGGGTCGGTCAGACCTCCTGGTCACTATTGCTGTACCATTCTCTTAAGGCCGCGATGATGTACGCGTGCCTACTCATCGTTCACCCGCTACTGAATTGCATTGAGAACATCTGGCCTCTTATCTAGACATTGCGTGTCGACCATATTGTCTTGGGTTTGAGTCCCTAGCGGGTAGAGTTGTATAATCGGCCTTGCTGAGCTCTGTCAGTTCCACCAAGGTTTCACAAAATTAAATAATCTCGTTAAAACAAACGAATGCACTACTGTGGGTGCTTTATTAATATTTTACCCCAAACAGGGGAAATCCACAGGTCACGGCACAGTCTAATATTTCAGGTGGGGGGGGGGGTTGATAGGCTACATGCAGTCCTGGGACCTAGGCTGCATGCAGTCGTGAGACATAGGCTGCACTCTCTCGTGGGACGTAGGTGGGTTGGGGTTAGGGCCAGTTCTAATGTTTTGGGGTCGTTAAAAGCACCAGTCTTACCACCCTATAAAATGTTCGACTGACCTGTGACGTCATCCGGGGGTGTGATATTATTAAACAACCCTACTGTGTTGTAGTAACGTAAAGATAACGAAAGTTGTGGACTACGTGGACATATTTGTACGGAAAGAGTTATAATAGATACAAAGATAAGTAATGCATACCGACATGATGTTGGGGAAACCCGTTTAGTCTTTGAAAATATGGGTCTAAGATCATATACCCCAAGCTGCACTGGCGCGAAAGTAAAAAGTAAAATAGTATAGGACCGTTTCCCACAAATGCAGACGTATTGGGCATATAGGGCTAGATCTATATTTTATAGACCAATCGGCGCTCGATGGGTGATATAGGTAACATCATGCCGGCCGCCTTTACTTTACAGGACGTTGTATGGTACCCATTTAAGACTCCAAGTCAGTCAGTCAGTCAGTCAGTCAGTCAGTAGCATATCCTTTGCAACAGAATGTCCTTTGCAGAACCTTGCACCAATAACAACCCTCCTGAAAACTTATCGATCACAAGCAAGATGTCCCGCGTCCGATACACCCATCTGGAGATCACCCCCCACAGCCTGCACCCATCTTCTCTTTGGCCTTCCTCTTCCTCTCTTTCCAGGCATATACCCCTCCATTATTGTTCGCTCCAAATTTTCGTGATACTATTTACCATATGTGCACCTGTGGAAAGGTACCACAAACAGCAGAGCATGTACTCTAGGACTGCACCGAATTTGACACATTAAGGTAAACCTTTTGGCCGGAAAGAACAACAGTGGAACGTAAACTCTATGGACCACTGAATAAACTAACAACGACAGTGAAATTTATACGAGAGACACAATTTCCGATATAGACAACTTATTTCAGGCGAACGAACGAAGAAGAAGAATTGCATCTTTTCTGAATTTCTTTATTCATTTTACGATTTTCTAAAAAAAAAAAAAAAATGGATATGTAAAGTCTTTGGCCTGCTTTAACTGATGTTTATTGATTTTGACGTTGGTGATTCTTCCTTTTCTGGTAAATGCTATCACTTCTGTTTTGTCTATGTTGATTTCAAACCATAGTTGTCGCATGCAGAGTGGAGTCTGTCAATATGTTCTTGTAAGTGTACTTCTGTTAGTACTATGATCACCTCAGCGTGCATTGCTAAATAGCCTTGTGATTTGTGCAGCCGACGCCAACAACAAGCCGAACTACATCGCCAACGGCAAAGAAGCCAAAAAACGCCGCTACATGGGTATCACCATGCTGCCGTTGAACGAGACCATCATCATGGAGCTGAAGGACAAGATCGCCGACTTCCCGGACATCACCGGGGGCGTCTACGTACACAAGGTTGTAGTCAGCTCGCCTGCTTATGCGTAAGTCTCAAACCATTGCTTTCTAAGTTTGTGTTGTCTAGCGTCTCTTCCTGTCTCTGTTTCTTCTTTGTTTTCTTTAAATGCCAATAAATGGATGTCAGTGTTTCCTAATAATTCTAGGGCCGCAGTAAGCAGCCGTGGTATAGAGGCTAGACATTCGCCATCGGACTGGAAGATCTTGAGTTCAAATCCTGGAGAATGACCAAAAAGGATGCACACAAGCTGTGCACCTTTACCACACATGTCTACGTAGAATTGTCAAAATTTTCTTGCCAGATACAATCTCACACACTAAACTACTTCAAGCCACAAACCAAGAAACTTTAGACAGTATGATTACCAAGAGAAGATGGAAATGGCTTGGCCACGTTATGAAAATGACTTCTGATATACCTGCCAAAACAGCTCTCACATGGACACCAGAGGGAAAGAGAAAACAGGGGCGCCCAAAAACAACATGGTTGACCTGAGTGTGGCATCTTTGACATGATAAACTGCACTGAAGATAGCACAGGACAGGGAAGCATGGAAAGTCCTCTCTGAAGCCTCATGTGCCACTAGGCATAACGAGAAGTGATGATAATGATGATGAATGTATCCTAATAATTCTAGGGCCGCAGTAAGCCGCCGTGGTATAGCGGCTAGACATTCGCCATCGGACTGGAAGATCTTGAGTTCAAATCCCAGTGGTGCCTGATTTTTTTTTTTAAAAGGTAAAATTGTGAAACGCGTCCACTACCATGGAAGCCACCAAGTTGTTTACTTTGTTTAGAAAAAAAAAGCTTACTTTATCTAGAAAAAGCTGACTTTTTAAAAGGAAAAAAAACTCATGCGCGGGCCCCGGGACCCTAATTTTGTTTGCGGGCGGGAGGAAAAAGGAGGAAAGGGGGGGGGGGGGGGGGTGAGAAAAGACCCTCTTTCCTCTAATAAGTGAGTCGTAAAAAGGCGACTAATTAGGGTGTTTCCTTCGAAGTGAGATGCTTGGAACCAACGGTTTGCATATAATTAAGTCTGATCTGTGAATGTGCACGCAAAACTAATGCTCTGTGCACGCAAAACTTATGCTCTTGAAAAAAAAAAAAAGATGCTGCGACCCAATAAAAATCTCCCAGTGATGGGACTCGCTCCTTCTCTTAGACCCGCCACATAAAACTACGTTACAGTAACCGCCATCTTATGTTATTTCCAGAGGCGGGCTGCACGCAGGAGACATCATCGTTGACATTAACGGGTTCAAAATCGAATCCGCCGCTGATGTTTTCGAGGTCTTGGAAAAATCCGAGATTCTTCGAGTCACAGTCATCAGGGGCAGATATAAAGAGATGTATTCTGTTGTCACGGAAACGTTGTAGTGTTTACTTCAATTCTTAATTCTGTACCACAGTCGGTTAGTTCGACGTTAGTCTCCACAGACCCCGCCCATATACACACTAGTTCACTTCTGACTGGTAGCCTTCGTACAAGGTTACGGGGGTGTTCCGCAATGCCGTCGATATCGCGTATATTTCAGTACGCCAGCGCTTTTAACACTCCAAAACCATGGACAAACTGGGTCTAACAACCCCCCTCCCAACTTCCCAGAGAGTGCTCCAACCTGTGTCACAGGCATCCTCTTTCTGTGAATGAAAACGTAAATGCAAGACATCACAGAAACCAAACAACATAGCGTGACACCCCCGTAACATTCATGAAAGTCGACCAGCCCAACGAACTTGTGAATGAAAAGTGACCTACTCTTTTTTTTGAGGAGACTAACGTCGAACTAACCCCCCCCCCCCCCCCCCATCAACTGCCATCCCAGCTCAGCACTCTTCTCTCACTATTCGCCACCATACTGTTATACCAAGGCCGCCTCCAGTTTCCGGAGACGCTCTTGGTTTTACAGTGTGTGAGTCGCACATGGCTGGCACTTGTCTTCTCCTTTCTATTCTGTTCTGTGCAATTCTTATGTTAATATCGTGCAGGCATGCAAAGAACCAACAGTCTGCCTACAGATAAGCCAGTTATGTAAAACGGATATGCATTCAAAAAAACTCAAGTTCTGGAACAATACTAGAGGCCGAACAACCGGAACTTTCCGCCTGAGGTTTACAGCCAGTGAACGCGAAGAAGAAGAGGACGATTTCATTGCACCCCGTATTCACTAGCGACTTTAACCAAACATTATCAGCAACTAGTTCTTGTGTCTCTTGATCTATGCACGACCGGCTCCAGCTGGCGGGCCGTGCTGCTGACATCATCGAGTCGGCCTAACGATGCGTTAACGCAGAGGTTCTCAAACTGGGTGCCGTGAGCTTATGCCAGAAATGCCGCGGCATTAATTGAGAAAAGTCGGCTAAAAATTGTGAAATTACTAAAGAAGGCATGTAGATACTTAAAAGTTAAAATGTAAGTTGTCTCCCCTCGCCACTGTGGAGAATAGTTTATTTCTTAATTGAGAGCCGCTGCGTTAATGCGTCGTTAGCCCGACCCGGTGACGTCAGCAACACAACCTATCAGCTGGAGCCGGTCGTGTTGTAGGTCTCATTCCAGTAGGGAATCAATATTTGGTCTGATTTTTGATAGTTTTTTATAAATCTAGATATAAGAGTAAAGGTTTTGTGTTTATAGTGCTAAAGATATATTTTATAGATCAATCGGCACGCGGCGAAGGATGGGGTCAACATCAGACCGACCGCCTTTACTTCTCAGGACGTTACCTAGTACGCATGTAAGGCTGGGTCGACCTGGGAGCTGTGATTATTATTTTTTTTTTAAAATCAGACCTGATTCGGATTTGAACTTACAATTTTCGAGCCCGAGGCGAGCGTCTAACTGCCACGCCACGGCGGCTGTCTGCGTGTAGTAGAATGTTTAAAAAAAATGTTCTTAGAATGATTGTCGTAAATTATTCGCTGGCTCTAGTGAAATGCCCTAACATTGTAACTCAACGCGTTCACTCCAAAGGGCGATACGATATTCTTCTTCTTTCGTTCGCTTAAAATAGATTATCTATATCTGCAGTTTTTTTTTTTTTTTTGTGTATGAACTTCATTGTCTTTTGTAATTCACTCAGCGACCCGTAAAGTTTGGCTTCCACCGGTGTTTCTCTAGGCCAAAAGTTTTGCGTTGATATGTTGTATTTGGGACAGTCTTTGAGGACGTGATCTGTTGTCTCAGGTGCTGATCCGCATGTACTCATGGCTGCTTAGACAATCTTAAATTGTGTGTACATGTGGCTGCGAGGTCGACTGTGTCCTGTTCTAAGGCGTAGAATAATGACTGGTCTGTCCACAATGTGGTCATCGTCTTTTGCCGGTTTTGGTGGCTTTCTAATTGATCTGATTATTGTCTGCATCTGTCGATGGGAGACTGTAACGATATGAATTCTGTTTTCCTTCCTCACACCTCTCTAACCAGTTGTCATCCTGGCTTTGTTACTTTGACCAAAAGAAGCTTGCGTTGACAATTAAACGATATTTATCTCTTTATATATATATATATAGTACACAGCTTTATGATGGTATTTTCCCACAAGTATGGTATTTCTTTAATTTTGTTTTTCTGTCGAACTGGAGGCAGGGGCTGCTTTAGGTTGCCTATAATTGGTACTTTATATATTTATATATATATATATATATATATATATATATATATATATATATATATATATATATATATATATATATATATATATATATATATATATATATACTAAATGCATACGATTATGATTTCACGCATGTTCCATTTGATGAAAACCGTTATGGTATTTATTTCTCCATCTGGGGTGTTAATTTGATAGCATCTTACCATCAAGTTTACAGTATTTTTTTCAGAGTAAATTTTTATGTGAGTTGTATAAGATACTACGAAGTTTAACGGGTGTAAGATATTGTGCTAGAAAATTGTATACTTATAAATAAACAGCCAAGGCTTTATATAAGTCTCTTTCTGTTTTTTGTTTTTCTGGTTGCTGCTTATTGTTGTTTTTGATGTTGTTATTGTTTATTACGGTGACCATCGCTTTAGGCGATCTAGGATGTGACGAACTTCTGTCGTGAAGAACAGTTTGTTTATTCCTAGCAAATGTTCTTGCTTGAAGTTTTATTGGGATAAGAGGAATTTCTGTTAAGGAGAACAATTTCTTGGGTCCCCGGTGAGTTTTCCGGTATTAACCACACACTTGCCCTCACGGCGAGAGTTCCTTTCCCTCCTATTCATGCCGTTGTCGGTGGCATGGCTTGTTCTATATTATGTAGGGTTATGAGATTACTTCGTTCAGCGTACGCTCCCTGTATATAATGTTTATAGAAGGTTGCGTTGTCGGGATTCTCTTTAAAGCGCCGCAGACGCCTGTGTACAAGTAAAAAGTACTGCGATGGGAAGCGCTCAAGCCGCGACTGTTCATGAGTATCGAAACTGCGATATTTTTGTATTTCTATGTTTCTTGTTGGTGCCTCCCAAACGGGTTTTTTTTTTTAAAGAAAGAGAAGCCACTGACAAGGAACGTAAAAGTACAAAAACATCACAGTTTCGATGCGAACCAGTCTACATATGTGACTTTTTTTTTTTTTTTTAAATAGTAGAACATCTGGAAGTAAGGCGAGAGGAAAAGCAAGAAAGAGATGGATAAGCGGTGTAGCTGAAACCTACAAAAAGATGAACTACTTCTAGTAGTTGTTGTTGCTTTCTATTATACTCTTCACTTGTAGTTAATTGTTGCTTGTTAGTTGTTGCTTTGGCCAAACCCTCGCTTGTTGTTTGCTTCTGATAGTTGTTGCTTTTTGTTACAACTACCGCTTGTTGTTCTTTGCTTCCGCTTGTTGTTTTTGCTTTTTGTTATAACCCTCGCTTGTTGTTAATTGCTGCTTGTTAGTTGTTGCTTTTTTTTATTTAACCATCGCTTGGTATTAATTGTTGGCTTCTGGTAGTTGTCATTGCTTCTTGCTGCTCTCTGCTTAGGACAACCGAGAAATAAAAAAAAAAGTAGAATGTCATAATTATCGACTAACCTCAATTCTGTTGAGGTGCACGCTTGCCAGCTCAGTAACAATATTAAATGACCTCTTTTCACATAAACTAGGATTCAATGTTAGGGCGTCTTTGGGCATTGATCAGTTCTCGTGTATGAGCTCTGAGTGATATTTAACCCCGTTAGGACCGAACGAGCGATAAACATCTGATGTCATAAAGTGCTACCATTCGGATGAGAATCGCCAGGGTGTATATTTATAGTTATAGTTGGGCCCTCGGCTACAGCCTGGGTGGGGTTTGAAAAGAATTAAATAATAATGCATTCTGTATTGGGGCGATGTCTGGTTTTATTTAACTGGGCTTTTATTCATGCTTCCTCACCGTGTCACGGGCTAGTCTGTGTTAGAGGGGTGTCACGTTGTCTTGTGTGCGCGAAGAGGTTTCTGTATTGTGCGTATATAGGCGGCAAGCTATACAGTGTGTTTTACTGGACGCTGCGAGTGGGTGGCAAGATTGCGTATATTACGAACTTCAGGTACGGCATGGATTTAGGTCAGCTTTCAGCATTGTCGAGCGACGAGGAGGAGAGAGTTGTTTTTCTTGAGCAAAACAAGTTTTTAGGGCGGAGCGGACAATTTTATTAATTCCGAAACCATGGGACCTTCTTTTGACTTTCTGGTGTGACCTGCGTTGAGGCTCTGGGTAGGGGGGGGGAGAGGGGGGTTTGGGTTAGGGCCAGTTCTAGACGTTCTGGGGTCGTTAAAAGCTGTGTCATCGTGTAGTATAGAATACGCGACATCGGCGCTGATGTAATTAGAGGCAAGACAACGTGACACCCCTCTAACATAGACTGGTCCGAGTCACAGTTAAGAAAGCATGAATGAAAGCCCAATTGCGCTATGTTTGGGCCGGGAAACGTATACAAGACCCGATGTCTGAATAAGTATGAGCTTTGATACGTACATTTTTTGAGAGATTCAATACCGATAGGGTTATGATTTTTCTTGTGTAGGCCAACGTCAAACAGGGCTCCCATTCGGTTCCTCTTTTTCAGTCTATATTTGACAGTTTTTTTTTCTCTTCGTGTATAGAATCGCGCCCAGGACTCTGCTTCTTTAAATCAACCGTTACGATCTGTATTTACCGCTTGTTAACATTTTGTAATATATAATTAAGTTTCTGACATTCAGCTAGCCAAATAACATTGATTTTGAATACTTCTGGAGGCTAGAAAGGAACTCTGGAAAAGAAAGATCCAGATACCACACCCTCATTACACCTTGACCTCTTAAATATGACAGTCTGGTACATAATACCCCATGTGGCAGCGTTGCTAGAGGAGCTTCTCAACATTTGCTTTAGCCTTTACTGAATAAGAAGGAAGGGGGCTGCGTGG